TGAGTGGTCGCACCAAATGACATGAAGATATTATATAATAAATATAGGTCAATAAACAGGTCAATAAACAATACTTTTAATTCAAAACATAGAATTACAACCAATAATAATAAAATTACAATAATAACAATACAAATAAAACAATTTAATTACATTTTCAGAAAGATGAAAAATCTCAAACATAAATGCACTTTGTTTTGAACAAATATTTCATATTTTACAATGAAGATCTGAATGTGCACCACATTGCCTTAGTTTCCTGAAAAAAACTTTTTATAAACTTTTCAAAATAAAAAATCTCAAACATAAGTGCACAAAAGATTGGCTTGGTTTTAAACAAAGATTTCATAACCATTTAAAACATTTTTCAAAAGCCATCAAACATACAGTAACTGCATTAACTTGACACTTAGCCCCAGGCATTAGTGAACTTTTCCCAGTCTTGGCTGTTCAACTTAGAACAGCGTGAGGTTGCTGGCTCAGGTTGTGAGATGACAGCGTGTACATCTTTCTTAAAGTAAAAGATGACATCTGGAGTTTGTGGCCATATGAACAAGTTCTTGTCATCCGACTGCCGCATGGTGCTAACCTGAACTTCCTCTCCCACATCCTGAAGGACCTGGCCCACATATGGAAGCTCATCATAGCTCACAATCACAAACTTGCCACTTAAGTCTTGAAGACTGGCTTGTTCCTTTGGTGGCTCTGGACTGCTTGTTGCAGCTTCAGTGTGGCACATAGTTTCTCTCAGGTTGACTTTTTTTGGCTGGTAACAGAGGCATGTCTTCATTTCTGCATGCTTGCAGAAGCATGAAACCTCCCTGTGAGTGATTTGGGCTGCATGTGAAGACAAAACCTGGTGTATCTTCAAGGTTCCTCTCACAGCAGTCAAATTTTCGGGAATCAGCTCATCATATTTCTGGATGCTCTCTTCGTTTATCCAATGATGAGTAATAGCTGACCCTGATTTTTGGCCAGCATGTTAAACAAGTCCAGTGGAGTCTGCAGCTCACCTCCTCGTCGAACATAGAGATCAGCATCCCTCTTTACAGCACCACCAATGCCATCCGGGGCACCCTTTCCATGGGACTTTTCCGAATAGTTCCATGTCACATGCTTGAACCCAGAAAGGAAAGGAACAGTACTAAGAAGGTAAAAGTTGGATTTGTTCCTGTACTGTGTAACTGGTCCATCACTGATAACATGGAGAACTGTAATTTGTGGGCTGGTTTCCCTGAAGCTCTTTTAATATGGGCTCCAGGTGTGCCCACACTGCCCGCTCATCATGGCGGAGGCAGTTTGATACTGTGGCATACGATTTGGTGCTGTGGGCTTTGTAGAGGGACAGCAGTGTGTATTGTAGCCTGCTTTCGGCTGCCTCCAAAATGATAAGCTTGTACTTCTGTGTTCATCTTGCAGGCATAATTTTCAGAGAAATCAATGTGAAGAACAGCTTCAGATTCAGTCAGATTTTGCTTCAGGTCACGGAACTGTTCTGTTTGGTGGATCCAGTTGAACTGATGAATGGCCAATGCTTCTAGCTTTTTGTGAAATAGTTCTTTTAAGTCCTGGATTGTCCCTGTGTAGGTTTGTTTCAAAACATTTGCAAAGGTTTTCTCACCATTTGTTGATGTTACCCGCTCCCATTGTTCCCAAGAAATCTCAGTGCAGTCTGTGTCAGGAAATTCGATTTCATCAAAGCAGCACTTCAGACATACACGATCCATGCATGGTTTGTTTTTAGGGTCACACACGATCATTCTCACTAACTCTGAGATGCTGGTTGTCTTCAGCAGTCCTCTCTTGGAAAGTCTGCTGACCAATAGCCGGATATTCTCATGTTCTACACATGCACAAGTATCTCTATCCCTGGTCTTTGGCTCAGTGATATAAAAAGGCCGTTTTCTGGCAAACTGTCTGTAGGATATGGAGAGATGCTGTTCTACCTCTGTTTGATACTGTGCATGGAGCTCAAGAAGGGGCTTTGTTAAAACTCTTCTTTGCATTTTCTGTTTGTTTTTGGTGATGGTGTCTTTTTCCCAGCTAGAAGACGACTATTTTCATCTCTGGACAGAAAGTTGACAACTGCTTGCTTCCTTTCTGTTGACAGTTTCTTGGACCCCCTTTGCTTGAATTTTTCACTTAGGCTTCTTTTTTGTCTTGCCATTAACCTCTTCTCATTCTTTCTGAATTTGTCATTTCGTTTTTTCATCTCAATTAGTTGTTTCCTTAGATGTATGACCTGCTTTTTCAGTTCACACTTCTCTTTCTGTAGTCTTTTGCAATATTTCCCTGCTGTATTCCTTCTCTTATCTGGTGTGGAGGACACTGGTGGATTAAAATCCTGAACAAGGATGGGGTCTGCCACAGCTTGGCCTGCATTTTCATCTTCTTGTGCCCCATCTACATCAACCAGAACTGGTGGAATGTCCTCCATAGATGGTGGTGTAAGATCAAATATAGCATTTGCCATATTTTTCCTTTCTCTGTAAGCACGAGATGCAGCCTTCCATTTCTCTCTTTGTTTATTTTTCTCTCTCTGTGGCAGATCATCTGACTTCACATATAGAATCTTTCCCTGTTGTTTTCTTCTCTGATAGCTTTCTTTTCTTCTAGCAAGGTACTCCTCTCTTGCCGCAGGGTCAGCATTAACACGCTGCCTATGGCGAGCGGTTTTTGCTTTGCTTGACAGTGGCATCTGGTAAAATAGATTAAAACAGTAAATAAATGACAAATTACATTTTTTTTTACATTTTTCCCATGATATTGTACAAAAAACTAAACGTAAATTTCATTTATGAAATATCTGGAAAACAATGCTCAAATTGTACAAAAAACTATTCCAATAAATATTAATGTAGAGTACTTTTTGTATGTTAGTCTTAAAATAATATATATATATAATATATAAAAGTACAAAAACTACCTATCTAGGACATATATCTATCATCAAAAACACCCTACAATGGTCGCACCACATGATATCTGGTCGCACCAAATGATATTTTCACGTTCAGTCAACATTTACAGGCAAATAATTAGCCTCCTTAACAAAACAAGCTAGCTTCACACAAAAGGCGAGTTTGAAATTTATAATAAAAATATATATTTGTAGAAATAGTTTAATATTCATAATTTTTTGGAGGTCATACCACATGATATCCAGATATGGCAACTACATACCAACCGTTAGAAGCGATGTTTTTTATCAAATTTGAGAAAGATTAACAAACCTGCTTGCTGTCTCCAAGGGTTCTTGGCAAACTGTTGGATGATGCAACTTCCTGTCTTGGACTGGATTTCAAAATTAAAGTCCCAAAGTGGTAATTTTGTGGTGGTCGGACCACATGATATTTTATAAAATGGACATCCTCGGACAAAGTTTGCTTGTATGTTATAATGGAACTATAACTACAAATGCTTTGAAAATTTGTACAGGATGAAAAAACACTTTGAAAATCATGCCAAATAGGAAAGAAAATATATTTGAACAGATTTAGGGTAATTTTAAAGACGTTTTCGAAACAACAATTAAGGCCGGACAGTCGCACCACATGATATTTTGACACGTTAAAGAGCACAAAATTGCCAACAACTCACTGTTTTTGAAAGGTTAAAGTAGGTATATATGTGGGAGATATATTGCATATCTGTGGTTTCTTTTTTATGCATTTAAACCTTTTTTAACTGTAAAAAATAGAGTCGGACAAAAAATTTGGGCGTCACGTCATTGACCC